CCTCCCTATTTTCTCCTATTAACACTATATCATCAGCAAACAACATGCACCACGGCACCTCTCCTTGTATTTCTCTAGTGATTTCAGTAACGTTTGTGTAATGTTTCATTAAAATATATAAAAAGATTTGCAAATATTTCTTCTACTAACATTGATAAATTATTTTTTTTAGCCATAGTTTTTTTGTCAAATTAAATTTTAAAGGGGCCAAATGATACTTTTACCCTCCTCGTATTTTGACCAAGAAGATAACTGTCCCCCTAACAGCCGGTTTGGGCACCAATAAATACAAAGTATTATTAAATGGAAATGCTATTTTAAAATTTGATTTTAATAATGTTATATAAAGAATACATGAAACTGTCGAACCAGTGGAAAAATTAGGTTATATTGAAAATTGCATGAACAATTATTTTATAACAAGTTGAAAATAGTCTATTGATAATATGTTTACCGTCTGCCATAATTAGAATATGGAATTATATGCATATAAAAGGTAGGTCACTTTAAATGCTTGCACATTTTTTAAAATTAAATATACGTATTATCTTAAAAATAACAGCTGATAAAGCAACTTCTAAGGGAATATTTGGATTTAGCTAACAAAAATTTTTAAAAATGAGCCCTCATACTCCTGCAACTGAAAACTTCATTTTTGTTGGTTAGTGTAGTTTATTTGGTTTATATAGAATATATGTATTACATTAAATTATAATATATATGTTTATATAAGGAGTATAATGCGATTTCATGGTATATGATTTAAAATTAAAATATAATTTGTTTTACATCTCCATGTTTGTTAACTATAAATATTTTTTTATCGGGCACACGCGAGGATCCATTAAGAAGACAGCTTAGTTAAATACAAAAATAATTCTGAGAAGTATAAATAATATTGTATTAACAAATATGTTTCATATTTGGAAGTTACAATAAAAGCTATAATCTATTAGATTAGAGGTTTTAAAAAAGTAAGTCGTTATAACTATATTTTCTTATTTTAATATAAATTTCAAATTTTCATCTATTTTTTATTGTAATTTTATAGCAGTATTGTCTAATTATTCATACATTTTTTATCCTTGTATTATTTTAGCACATAAAAACAACATTAGTGGATTCTCGGGCAAGGCGAATAGGTAAAGTTTAGAAGTAAAAAACCCAGCACAGGGGGGTCGCGGCACAGTGGTGCCGTGGTATAGTTGGATCAAGTATAATGATATCTGACAGTGAT